TTCAGTGGCAAAACTAGAGATTGGCAACAGCCGCTTACACAATGGATTCGGGAGCTGCAATTTTAAAAAAAAGTTTTAAAACGTTCCTTTAAGGATTTGGTTTGTGCTAAGCATCCCAGCACGCAATATAGTGAGTTTATTCGGTTGCATCAACATTTCATATCTAAGCCACGTGCATTCAGCTGTTAATGATCTTAAATTATAAAAACGAGACTCTTAATAGACATTTCGCACTCAATTCATGTATTTAGTTTATCCAGTTTATGAAAAGTTCTAGGTTATCTCTGGTGTAGTCGTGGGCGAGCTGACCGGTTGGATAATTCTAAAAGCCTCCATTTCAGCCATCTGCTTCCCGACCTCGGGTCTCAGACGACACGGCGTCCAGCGCCCCCGGAGCTCGGACACTGGAGAGCAGTAGCCCAGTTTGAATAGCATATCTGCAATGTTCCAGAACGGAATCAAAACGCGCCTATTTACTCCCAGCCCGACTCAGCTGCATGCGAGAGCCTCACGGTAGCCGTTGGGCAGTTTGCTGGGAACCCACCGGTCCAGCTCGCCTGCCTGGGCGCCCGACAGATCAGCCTGAGCTGGGCTTTCCCCGGGAGGCCGCTTCTCGTCGGCGGCTGCCGCTGCGCCGCCATCTTGCACTTCTCGCAGGGCAAAGTCGGCATACAGTTTCACCACCCCCACGCCGGCGTTCTTCGCTAAGGTCGGCATATTGTTGATTGCAGCGCTGTTTGTGTTGTTAGGGTCGGCACTCCGTTAGCTGTTTTGACTGCAGCGCTTCGCAGCGATCGACTGAATCTGCACCTGACTGTCGCCGCCGTCGCCGCGTCCTGCCGCGCCCAGTCCCTTCCCGGACAGCGGCGGAGGTCTGTCACGCCATGCGGCGCCTCCGGCTGATTATAGCCCTCCTCAGGCTGGCCGAGGCGGCGGCGGCGGTCGGGTCAGTGCGCCAGGGGACGGCCCTGCCGGCCAGGGCGTTCGCGTTCGAGCCATTGCAGCAGAGTAACACCGAGATGCCGCCGGGGGACGGGTCTGAGCTGGGTGGCGTCAGCGAGTGCCACTGCCGCTACCTCTGCCTCAGCGATCCTGACTGCCGTGGGTACGGCTTCAGCGACGCCTCGGCCGCCTGCCGACTGACCCACCTGCTGCCGACGCCGGAGAGGATGGAGGAGAGCGCCGATATCTGGCGCTGGCACGCGCGCACCGGCGTCCGCCAGTTGGGCGAGCCGTGCCCTACCGAAAGCGACTGCTCGCTACTGGTGGCTGGCGCAATCTGCCAGGACGGCATCTGCGTGTGCCGGCCACCACTGGAGGAGGAGCACGGCCGCTGCCACAAGACAGGCAACTTCAGCGCGGTGGGCACCGGTCGGTTGAACTCCAGCGTCCTGTTCGAGGCGCAGGCGACGTCCACCGACGACTGCGCGGTCGTCTGCGCTGACAACCTTACCTGCATCGCTTTCGACTTCGCGGCAACCGAGCAGCGCTGCACATTTTACTCGGAGGGCATCACCAGCGACGCCGGCTCGGGCCGCGACGTACAGTCGTTCGTCTGGCACTTCCCGCGGCCGGACGGCACCCCGCCACCCGTTTACCGTCTGGTGGGAGGCATGCACCTCGCTTCCCGCGCTATCACCATCGTCGCGGAGGCGCCTGGGACGTGCTACCTGGACGGCGCCATTGCTGCACCTCCGCCGCTGCCGCCGATAGCGCTGCTGGCTGACCTCGGATCGCCGCAGGGCACCGCTTTCGTCGTTGGGATTGACGACATGGTGACTGAGGGCAGCTTCGTCACCAGCGACGGGATGCTGGCAAACGTGACCTGGCTTCTGAGTCAACCGGACAACGGGGGTGGCCGGGAGCACT